TGTTTGCACGGGCTCGTTCGCGGCCATTTTGTGGGGATGTCTCAGGCGGTTTGCTTGTTTCTGGGCCCAACATCCTTCGCTTTCGGAGCAGATTTGGAGGATGTCTCGAGCGAGGCGCTCATTGCAGCACCCCTAAGGGAGCCGCCAGGGGTGTTTGCACGGGCTTGTTCGCGGCCATTTGCGGGGATGTCTCAGGCGGTTTGCTTGTTTCTGGGCCCAACATCCTTCGCTTTCGGAGCAGATTTGGAGGATGTCTCGAGCGAGGCGCTCAATTTTCACTCCCCAGGTGGGCCAGATTTTGAGGATGTCTCGATCGGTTTGCTTGTTTTGGTGGCCAGGCTCGTGGGCGCAGATTCTTCTCAGGATGCCACAGGAGGCTCCAACAGGCTCCAGGAGGCCCCAGGAGACCACATGAGGTCCCAGGAGGCATCAGGAGGCCACAGAAAGACTCAAGAGCCACAGGATGTCCCAAGAGGCTCCAGGAGGCCCCAGGAAGCTCCAGAAGGCCTCAGGAAACCACAGGAGGCCCCAGGAGGCAACAGGAAGCGCCAGGAGGCCTCGGAAGGCAACAGGAGGCCCCGAGAGGCCCCAGGAGCAGGAGGCCTCAGAAGGCAACAGGAGTGGCTCCAATCCCATGTGTTTTACGTATGCTCCTATCGATTGGGCCTCACCTGGAGCACGATTCTTTGATGTTCTACGTATGTTTCTATAGATGGTCCTTCTCCTGTGTACACAATCCTAAATGTTTTACTCATGTTCCTATGTATTGGGCCTCTCCTGGGGCACGAGTCCTTGGTGTTTTACGCGTGTTCCTATAGATTGCCCTTCTCCTGTGGCTCTAATCCGCAATGTTTTATGTACGTCTGTTGCTATAGATTGCGCCTCTCCTGGGGCACGAAACCTTCCTAGGAGGTCCCAGGAGGTCCCAAGAGGCTCCTGGAGACCCCAGGAAGCCCCAGTAGGTTTCAGGAGGCCCCAGGAGGCCCCAGGCTCATGCACAGAGACGCGCTCGTACTACTGAGGCTCATTCACACTCCAATTCATTCGCAGTTAGATTGATGTCCAGACCGTCACAACTGAAACCCGTTAATATTCGAAAGCTCTTGCGCCTAGACATTCACGGCGGACAGGTCCATGCGAGTATATGCACATATGGGGAGCTCCACGCAGTGAATAATTGCTCTTTTTTATGTTTGTTTGTATGTATCAATGTATGTGTGTATGTGTGTAAGTCTGTGTGTATGTATGTATCCACGTATGTATGTAATGTAATGTAGTGTAATGTAATGTAATATAATGTAATGTGATGTATTATATTGTAGTGTTATGTAATGTAATGTAATATGTTGTAATATAATGTATTTTACTGTAGTGTATTGTGTATGTATGTATGCATGTATGTATGTATGTATGCATGTATGCATGCATGTCTGTATGTATGCATGTATGTATGTACGTACGTACGTATGTATGTATGTATGTATGTATGTATGCATGCATGCATGCATGTATGTATGTATGTATGTATGTATGTATGTATGTATGTATGTATGCATGCATGCATGTATGTGTGTATGTATGTATGTATGTATTAATGCATGCATGTATGTATGTATGTGTGTATGTATGTATGCATGAATGCATGCATGTATGCATGTATGCATGTATGCATGTATGCATGTATGCATGTATGCATGTATATATATATATATATATATATATCAAACTATTTGCATTCGGCCCCTTTCGCCACCGCGCCTCGGTGAGGCCAGTGGGGATCTGTTGGGAGGCCTCTCGGGAGCCTCTTGGAAGCGGTTTTGGGGCGTCTCGGGGGCCTCTTCAGGTCCTCTTGAAATTTAGTTTTGGCCTGTTGGGGGCCTCCTGGAGCTTCTGTGGGGATCGTCGGGGCCTGCAAGTGATCTTGGCGGTCGTGTTGGGGCGGGGGGCTCGAAATAGCGGATCGTGCTCCCCTGTGGAGCCATAGGTGGGCCTTTCCTGGGATTCGGGCCGTCTTGGGGGCCTCTGGGGCCATCTTGGAGCCCTCTTAAGCCGCCTGGGGACCCTCTTGGGGGCCTCTTGGGCCGCATGGCGATCTTGGGGGCCTCTTGGGTTGTGTTGGAACGTCGAAAGCCCGAAAGGACGAGAACGCTGACATCGTTCAAATACATTAGGGGGGTCACTGATTTTGGCATTTTGGGGCCAGAGCCCTCTTGGGGAACCTTCTTGGGCCGTTTGGAGGCCATCATGGGCGTCTTTGAGCGACATCGGGCGACTCGGAGCCCTCTAGGACCGTCTTCGGTGCCTCTTGGGGCCCTCTTGGGCAGTCTTTGGCCCTCTTGGTTCCGAAAGGGTAATGCGACAAACCGCGAGACGGCCCAAGGAATCCAGAAATTTTGGGCCCAGGCCCTTTTATTTTCTCTTCCTCTTGGACGTAGGACGGAGAGCTCCAAGGGACCGGAAGACACTCCAATTCGTGCCTCAGGGCACAGTTGCGGATAGATGTGGTTATGGATATGGTTCTGGATCTGAATATGGATATGGATATGGATGCATATGTGTATGGATTTGGATCTGATTTTTCAGATGTGTATGGATATGGATATCGATATTGATAATGGGATTGGCCTACATACATACATATATATATATATATAAACACGTATACACACATATGTATGGCTATACTTATATATGTATACGGTAACGGTTATGGTTATGGTTCTGATTATGGTAATGGTAATGGTTCTGTATTGTATATAGACGGTGCGCGTATATACCTGTATGAATACCCGTCGTATATGTACATTTTCACACATGCACGTCGACGCACACACACACACACACTTATATTTACACGTAGAGATTACGAAGGAGGCCACACTTTAATTTGTATTGACATTTATACATGTGACGTGCGACTGGCGTTTGGTCACCCGGGACCAGGGGCAGCATACTTTTCCTAAACTCCGTCCCCCCCCAGCGGTAACCGAATTTAGCCCGCGGGATCTAGGGCCAGATTTCGGCCAGCTTGGGGGCTCTTCCGGCCCGACGTGGACCAAGGCGGCCATAGACGGATTCAAGATGGTGCCAAGAGCCCCATAAGACCATCAATAGCTGCCCAACGCGGCACAAGATCGCCCCCAGATAACTCCAAGACAGTGCAAGACGCCTCAAGACGGCTCCAAGAAGGCAGCAACCATTGTTCGTCACTAGGTTTAGAAGTGTTTTCGCGCATTTTCTGCTTTGAAGCCCAAGGCGGCCCCAAAAGCCTTCCAGACCAGAACGAGACAGCCCAGGAGATCCCCAAGAGCGGTCCGAAAGGGCCCAGGCCTCAAGATGTCTCAAGAGGTCCCAACACGACCCAAAGATGTCCAATGAGAAGGGCCCAACAGTACCCCCAGATGGGAAGTCCAAAGGGCTGAAGGAGCAGTCCGTCTTGGAGGCCAGCGAGAAGCTGTTTGGGCCATCTATTTGGGAGGCATCTTGGGCTGTCTTGGGGTTTCGTGTGTGCCTGCTGGGCTCTTCGTAGGCCTCTGGAGCCTGAAGTGGGGCCATCTTGAGCCGAGGCGTGGGAGATGCCACACGCACACGAAAGCCCGAGCGATTCGGCAGACTTTTGGCTCTCGGGGGCCCTCCGCAGAGCCACCTTGGAGCCTCTGGCTGCCCTTGGACTCGTGGGGGCATCCTGGGACCTCTGGGAGGCAACCCCCCAGAGCCAGCTCTGGTCATCCTCGGGGTCCACGTCCGGTCGCCCCGGGCCACTCGGGGGGGCCTGCCGTGCCCGGTGGAGTATTTTGGAGAGCCTGTCGCATTGACACCAGCACCAATATCGGCGGTGTGCCTCCACCGAGGGAAGAAAATCCCGATCTCGGTGATGGTGGTAATATTCTGGCTTCCAAGGTGACCGAACTATTGCCACCAACACCGAAATCTAGGATCATCTTCCCCCTGCGGAGGCAAACCCCTGTGTTGGTGTTGGTGCCCATTTCCAGGCCTCCACTGTTGTTGGGGAGTGCAGTGTGCCACGACGAGCTCGTCCAACGAGCTCCCCGCCCCTCTGATCGGGTCTTGGACCTCCGAGAACGGGGGAGAGGGCGAGGAGGGCAGCCAAGTGTCTCCCACGCCTTGTTACCTCTGGCCGTTTTTTGTTTGTTTGTTTGTGTGCTTTTTTGGGGGGGGAGGGGGGGATATGATGTTTTTTTTGATTGTGTGTTTTCTTCTGTTTTGTTAGTTTGTTGGGTTTTTCGTATTTCCATGCCTGGAGGAGGAACAGCCAAACACCTGCACGCAGCGGGGGCCATCGGATCTTACGCGGTGTTTGTTTTGTTCGTCTGCGGGACGCGGACTGGGCCCAATGTGGGTCGAATTCTGGACTGGGCTAGCCTTGATGAAGGGGTCTTTTGGGCAGCCATCTTCTCGCCAACTTGGAGCCTGTCGGGGCGATCTAGGTGTCATGAAACCGAGGCCATCTTGGGACCATCTTGGGGCCATGGTTAGCCGAGGGAGTCCGAACGCCGCATAAACACGCATGTTCTCAACGACCCTCCTCGTGAATATTCTTCGCTCGGCTTGGGAGAGTCTATTGGGCTGCCTGGGAAGCCTCTTGGACCGTCTGGGCCAGCTTTTGGGCATTGAAGGGCCCATCTCGTGCCCTTCGTGAGGTCCCTTGGGGCAGCCACGGGGCAGTCTTGGAGGCGTTCCCCCCTTTCCCCAGGATGGCCAGAATCCTGCCAGGCAAATGCCGCCGCAAGCTTCCCCGGGGAGCCCCAGCCACACGGGTGTATGAGAAAGCAACAATACATATTCACGTACTGTGCTCTGGAGGATTATGTATCCATTTGACCCGAGCGTTTTTTGGGCGAGCAGTGATTTTGCGAACCTTGCAAATCTGTACTGCGCGAGACTCACAGCGCGATGACGTTTGCTGAGACATCCCGCACGACGCCGCCCAGTACACCGCGTGCATGCCGCAGGGTGCCGACCGCACCGCCGCCATTGAGACGCACTCGCGCGGATCCGTTATTCCTGGGCCTGCAGCAGAACTGCCTGAAGCAGGTGCGCCTCGCCCTCGAGGCAGACTCGGATGCGGCCAAGTTGCCGTTCTGGGAGCCTCGCTTCGAGCTGCCGCTCTGCGCCGCGATCCGCCTGGGGTGCGGCGAGGAGATCGTCAGGCTGCTGACCGAGAACGGCGCCAGGGCCGACGAGACGAACGTCGCGGGGCAGTCCCCGCTCCAGCTCCTCAGCTCGGCGCCGCAGAAGGAGAGCATCGGCGCTGGATGCGGCCACGGGGGCTCTGAGCTGGCCTGGGCCCCAGAAGACCCGATCAAGAGGGGGGGCCGAAGCCGCGCCCGCTCCAAGCTTGGACCCCCCTTCGGGGTGCATCTGGCGCAGCTTCCCACCCCCGATCCGTTTCTGACGGTCCCGGGGCTCGAACCACTGGCACCCCAGAGGCCGAGAAGGGAAGAGGGCCTCCTCGAACCCAGCCACCAACCCAGCCACCTCGGCCCTGCGGACCCTCCCTGCTGCCCAGAACCGTTGCCCGGCCACCTCGGACACCCGGACGGCTCCAACGCCACCGTCCTTGCCACCGACTGGCTGGGAATTCCTGACGCCGCCGAGTGGGCTCCCTCGGCGCAAGAGTCCGCCGCGGAGCTCGAGCTGGGCCTGGCCGCCGCGCTGCTGGCCGCGGGCGCGGACCCGCGGGCGTGCCACGGCGACCCCAGCAGAGGGCACCGCTCGAGCCTGGAGCTCGCCCAGCGCGCCGGGAAGGATCGCATGGTCGGCCTGTCCAGGAGCGCTGCCGCGCGATTCCGCCACGGCGCTCGGGCGGGCGCGGGGGTGGGGGGGAGAGCGGGGGGAGGGGCCACGGACCCCCCCTGCCCCAGTTTTTTTCCCAACCATCCTGTGGTGTTGGGTCCTCGTTTTGAAGAGACGGCGCCCCGCGTTCCCCACCTCCTCCTCCCCCCCCCTCCCTCCTCCCATCGTCATCATCATCATCATCATCATCATCATCATCATCATCATCATCATCATCATCATCATCATCATCATCATCATCATCATCATCATCATCATCATCATCATCATCATCATCATCACCACCGATTTCGGCACACCCCTCACACGTTTCGTGGCCCCATAGGGAGCTCCACCGAAGGCCCCAGTGGCAGGGTCCGCATGCCTCCCCACCACCCATTTCGGCACACCCCTCACACGTTTCGTGGCCCCATAGGGAGCTCCACCGAAGGCCCCAGTGGCAGGGTCCGCATGCCTCCCCACCACCCATTTCGGCACACCCCTCACACGTTTCGTGGCCCCATAGGGAGCTCCACCGAAGGCCCCAGTGGCAGGGTTCGCATGCCTCCCCACCACCCATTTCGGCACACCCCTCACACGTTTCGTGGCCCCATAGGGAGCTCCACCGAAGGCCCCAGTGGCAGGGTCCGCATGCCTCCCCACCACCCATTTCGGCACACCCCTCACACGTTTCGTGGCCCCATAGGGAGCTCCACCGAAGGCCCCAGTGGCAGGGTTCCGCATGCCTCCCCACCACCCATTTCGGCACACCCCTCACACGTTTCGTGGCCCCATAGGGAGCTCCACCGAAGGCCCCAGTGGCAGGGTCCGCATGCCTCCCCACCACCCATTTCGGCACACCCCTCACACGTTTCGTGGCCCCATAGGGAGCTCCACCGAAGGCCCCAGTGGCTGCGTTCGCATGCCTCCCACCACCCATTTCGGCACACCCCTCACACGTTTCGTGGCCCCATAGGGAGCTCCACCGAAGGCCCCAGTGGCAGGGTTCGCATGCCTCCCCACCACCCATTTCGGCACACCCCTCACACGTTTCGTGGCCCCATAGGGAGCTCCACCGAAGGCCCCAGTGGCAGGGTTCGCATGCCTCCCCACCACCCATTTCGGCACACCCCTCACACGTTTCGTGGCCCCATAGGGAGCTCCACCGAAGGCCCCAGTGGCCTGGTTCGTATGCCTCCCCAACACCCATTTCGGCACATCCCTCACACGTTTCGTGGCCCCATGGGGATTTCCACTGAAGGCCCCAGTGACTGGGTTCGCATGCGCCCCCACACCCATGTCGGCACACCCCTCACACGTTTCGTGGCACCATAGGGAGCTCCACCGAAGGCCCCAGTGGCTGCGTTCGCATGCCGCCCCCACACCAATTTCGGCACACCCCTCACACGTTTCGTGGCCCCACAGGGAGCTCCACCGAAGGCCCCAGTGGCTGCGTTCGCATGCCGCCCCCACACCAACTTCGGTGCACCCCTCACACGTTTCGTGGCCCCATAAGGAGCTCCACCGAAGGCCCCAGTGGCAACGTTCGCATGCCGCCCCCACACCCATTTCGGCACACCCCTCAAACGGTTCGTGGCCCCATAGGGAGATCCACCGAAGACGGTACTCACACCAGCATTAGTCACAACTGCATATGGTAGGGTCCTTCGCCAGGCTATTTTTTTTGTTTGTCCAACCATCCTGTGGTGTTGGGTCCTCGTTTTGAATAGACAGCGCCCCGCGTCCCTCAGTCACTCCTCCTCCCCCTCCTCCCTCCTCCCCCTCCGCGTCAGCCACACCCACTTCGGCACACCCCTCACACGTTTCGTGGCCCCATAAGGAGCTCCACCGAGGGCTCCAGTGGCTGCGTTCGCATGGCGGCACCGCGCCCAGTTCGGCACACCCCTCACACGTTTCGTGGCCCCATAGGAAGCTCCACCGAGGGCCCCAGTGGCTGCGTTCGCATGGCGGCACCGCACCCATTTCGGCACACCCCTCACACGCTTCGTGGCCCCATAGGGAACTCCACCGAAGGCCCCAGTGGCTGCGTTCTTATGGCGGCACCGCACCCATTTCGGCACACCCCTCACACGTTTCGTGGCCCCATAGGGAGCCCCACCGAGGGCTCCAGTGGCTGCGTTCGCATGGCGGCACCGCGCCCATTTCGGCACACCCCTCACACGTTTTGTGGCCCCATAGGGAGCTCCACCGAGGGCTCCAGTGGCTGCGTTCGCATGGCGGCACCGCGCCGGCACACCCCTCACACGTTTCGTGGCCCCATAGGAAGCTCCACCGAGGGCCCCAGTGGCTGCGTTCGCATGGCGGCACCGCGCCTATTTCGGCACACCCCTCACACGTTTCGTGTGAGCATAGGAAGCTCCACCGAGGGCCCCAGTGGCTGCGTTCGCATGGCGGCACCGCGCCCATTTCGGCACACCCCTCACACGGTTCGTGGCCCCATAGGAAGCTCCACCGAGGGCCCAGCGGCAGCGCTTCGCATGCGGCACCGCCACCATTTCGGCACACCCCTCACACGTTTCGTGGCCCCTGAGGGAGCTCCACCGGGGCTTTCGTGGCGCGTTCGCATGGCGGCACCGCACCCATTTCGGCACACCCCTCACACGCTTCGTGGCCCCTGAGGGAGCTCCACCGAGGGCTCCAGTCGCTGCGTTCGCATGGCGGCACCGCGCCCATTTCGGCACACCCCTCACCCGGTTCGTGGCCCCATAGGGAGCTCCACCGAGGGCCCCAGTGGCTGCGTTCGCATTGCGGCACCGCGCCTATTTCGGCACACCCCTCACACGTTTCGTGTGAGCATAGGGAGCTCCACCGAGGGCTCCAGTGGCTGCGTTCGCATGGCGGCACCGCGCCCATTTCGGCACACCCCTCACCAGGTTTGTGGCCCCATAGGGAACTCCACCGAGGGCTCCAGTGGCTGCGTTCGCATGGCGGCACCGCGCCCATTTCGGCACACCCCTCACACGTTTCTTGGCCCCATAGGAAGCTCCACCGAGGGCCCCAGTGGCTGCGTTCGCATGGCGGCACCGCGCCCATTTCGGGACACCCCTCACACGTTTCGTGGCCCCATAGGGAGTTCCACCGAGGGCTCCAGTGGCTGCGTTCGCATGGCGGCACCGCGCCCATTTCGGCACACCCCTCACACGTTTCGTGGCCCCATAGGGAGCTCCACCGAGGGTCCCAGTGGCTGCGTTCGCATGGCGGCACCGCACCCATTTCGGCACACCCCTCACACGTTTCGTGGCCCCATCGTGAGTTCCCTCTCATTCGTTCAACCTGCTTTGCGGTACTCGTAACTGCACATGGTTGGGTCCATCGCCAGGATTGTTTTGTTTTTGTTTTTTGCTTTTTGTTTTTTTCCCAACCATCCTGTGGTGTTGGGTCCTCGTTTTGAAGAGACAACGCCCCGCGTCCCTCACTCACTTCTCCTCCCCCTCCTCCCTCCTCCCCTTCCGCGTCAGCCACACCCACTTCGGCACACCCCTCACACGTTTCGTGGCCCCATCAGGAGCTCCACCGAGGGCTCCAGTGGCTGCGTTCGCATGGCGGCACCGCGCCCATTTCGGCACACCCTTCACACGTTTCGTGGCCCCATAGGGAGCTTCACCGAGGGCCCCAGTGGCTCCGTTCGCGTGGCGGCACCGCACCCATTTCGGCACACCCCTCACACGCGTCGTGGCCCCATAGGGAGCTCCACCGAAGGCCCCAGTGGCTGCGTTCGCATGGCGGCACCGCACCCACTTCGGCACACCCCTCACACGTTTCGCGGCCCCATAGGAAGCTCCACCGAAGGCCCCAATGGCTGCGTTCGCATGGCGGCACCGCGCTCATTTCGGCACACCCCTCACACGTTTCGTGGCCCCATAGGGAGCTCCCCCGAGGGCTCCAGTGGCTGCGTGCGCATGGCGGCACAGCGCCCATATCGGCACACCCCTCACACGTTTCGTGGCCGCATAGGGAGCTCCACCGAAGGCCCCAGTGGCTGCGTTCGCATGGCGGCACCGCACCGGCACACCCCTCACACGTTTCGTGGCCCCATAGGGAGCTCCACCGAGGGTCCCAGTGGCTGCGTTCGCATGGCGGCACCGCACCAATTTCGGCACACCCCTCACACGTTTCGTGGCCCCATGGGAAGCTCCACCGAGGGCCCCAGTGGCTGCGTTCTTATGGCGGCACCGCACCCATTTCGGCACACCCCTCACACGTTTCGTGGCCCCATAGGAAGCTCTACCGAAGGCCCCAGTGGCTGCGTTCGCATGGTGGCACCGCACCCATTTCGGCACACCCCATCACACGTTTCGTGGCCCCTGAAGGAGCTCCACCGAGGGCCCCAGCGGCTGCGTTCGCATTGCGGCACCGCACCTATTTCGGCACACCCTCATATGTTTCGTGGCCTCATAGGGAGTTCCACCGAGGGCTCCAATGGCTGCGTTCGCATGGCGGCACCGCGCCCATTTCGGCACACACCTCACACGTTTCGTGGCCCCATAGTGAGCTCCACCGAGGGCCCCAGTGGCTGCGTTCGCATTGTGGCACCGCACCTATTTCGGCACACCCCTCACATGTTTCGTGGCCTCATAGAGAGCTCCAAAGAGGGCTCCAATGGCTGCGTTCGCATGGCGGCACCGCGCCCATTTCGGCACACCCTTCACACGTTTCGTGGTCCCATATGGAGCTCCACCGATGGCTCCAGTGGCTGCGTTCGCATGGCGGCACCGCGCCCATATCGGGACACCCCTCACACGTTTCTTGGCCCCATAGGGAGCTCCACCGAGGGCCCTAGTGGCTGCGTCCGCATGGCGGCACCGCGTCCATTTCGGCACACCCCTCACACGTTTCGTGGCCCCATAGGGAACTCCACCGAAGGCCCCAGTGGCTGCGTTCGCGTGGCGGCACCGCACCAATTTCGGCACACCCCTCACACGTTTCGTGGCCCCATAGGGAGCTCCACCGAGGGCCCCAGTGGCTGCGTTCGCGTGGCGGCACCGCACCCATGTCGGCACACCTCTCACACGTTTCGTGCCCCCTTAGGGAGTTCCCTCTCATTCGTTCAACTTGCTTTGCGGTACTCGTAACTGCATATGGAGACGGTCCCCGCGTCTCCTCCTCTTCCTCCTCCACCCGTGCCTCCCCCCCGCCCCCAATGGGGTGTACCACGTGCGTCCGCCACACCCAGTACGGCGCTTCGTGGCCCCATAGGGAGGTCCACCTAAGGCCCCAGTGGTGTGTACCACATGCGTCCCCCCCACCCAGAACAGCGTTTCGTGGCCCCATAGGTGGTCCGCCGAAGGTCCCCGTGGCGCAGTCCTCATGCGTCTCACCCGCCCAGCACAGCGTCTCGTGGCCCCATATGGAGCCCCACCGAAGGTCCCCGTGGCGCAGTCCGCATGCGTCTCCCCCACCCATTACAGCGTTTCGTGGCCCCATAGGCAGCTCCACCGAAGGTCACCGCGCAGTCCGCATGCGTCTCCCTCACCCAGTACAGCGTTTCGTGGCCCCATGTGGTGCCCCACCGAAGGTCCCCGTGGCGCAGTCCGCATGCGTTTCCCTCACCCAGTACAGCGCTTCGTGGCCCCATATGGAGCCCCACCGAAGGTCCCCGTGGCGCAGTCCGCATGCGTCTCACCCACCCAGTACAGCGTTTCCTGGCCCCGTAGGGGATTCGCCGAAGGTCCCTGTGGTGCCGTCCGCATGCGTCTCCCCCACCCAGTACACATTTCGTGGCCCCACAGGGGCTCCGCCGAAGGTCCCCATGGCGCAGTCCGCATGGGTCTCCTCTTCCCAGTACAGCGTTTCGTGGCCCCATACGGGGCTCCGCCGAAGGTCCCCGTGGCGCAGTCCGCATGCGTCCCCGCCAGTCATTTCGGCACACCTCTCACACGTTTCGTGGCCCCATAGGGGCTCCGCCGAAGGTCCCAGTGGCACAGTCCGCATGCGTCCCCGCAATTCATATCGGCCCACCCCTCACACGTTTCGTGGCCCCACAGGAGCTCCGCCGAAGGTCCCCGTGGCACAGTCCGCTTGCGTCCCCGCCATTAATTTCGGCCCACCCCTCACATGTTTCGTGGCCCCATAGGAGCTCTGCCGAAGGTCCCAGTGGCTCAGTCCGCTTGCGTCCCCGCCATTCATGTCGGCACACCCTTCACATGTTTCGCGGCCCCATACGTGCTCCGCCGAAGGTCCCGGTGGGGCGGAGCCCGCATGCGTCACCCACACCCACTACAGCGTTTGTTGGCCCCATAGGGAGCTCCACCGGAGGTCCCAGTGGCGCAGTCCGCATGCGTCTTCCACACCCAGTGCAGCGTTTCGTGGCCCCGGAGCTCCTCCGAAGGTCCCAGTAGTGCAGCCCGCATGAGTCTCCCCCACCCAGTACAGCGTTTCGCGGCCCCATAGGGAGCCACACCAAAGGTCGCACTGGCGCAGCTCGCATGCGTCTTCCACACCCAGTGCAGCGTTTCGTGGCCCCATAGGGAACCACACCGAAGGTCCCAGTGGCGCAGCCCGCATGCGTCTCCCCCACCCGGTACGTGCACCGTTTCGTGGCCCCACAGGGAGCTCTACCTAAGGTCCCAATCGTGCAGCCCGCATGCGTCTCCCCCCCCAGTACAACGTTTCGTGGCCCCATAGGGAGCTCCACTGAAGGCCCCAGCTAGTGGCTCAGCCCGCATGCGTCTCACTCGCCCAGTACTGCGTTTCGTGGCCCCGCAGAGAGCTTCACCGAAGGTCCCAGCGGTGCAGCCCGCATGCGTTTCCCCCACCCAGTGCAGCGTTTCGCGGTCCATAGGGAGCTCCACCGAAGGTCCGAGTGGCGCAGCCCGCATGCGTCTCCCACACCCAGTGCAGCGTTTCGTGGCCTACACGTTGTTCCACCTAATGTCCCAGTGGCGCAGCCCGCATGCGTCTCCCCCACCCAGTACAGCGTTTCGTGGTCCCATAGGGAGCTACACCAAAGGTCGCACTGGCGCAGCCCGCATGCGTCTTCCACACCCAGTGCAGCGTTTCGTGGCCTCATAGGGAACCCCACCGAAGGTCCCAGGGGCGCAGCCCGCATGCGTCTCCCACACCCAGTGCAGCGTTTCGCGGCCCCATAGGGAGCTCCACCCAAGGTCCCAGTGGCGTAGCCCGCATGCGTTTCCCCGACACAGTACAGCGTTTCGTGTCCCCATAGGGAGCTCCACCTAAGGTCCCAATTGCGCAGCCCGCATGCGTTTCCCCCACCCAGTACAGCGCTTCGCGGCCACGTAGGGAGCTCCACCGACGGTCCAAGGGGCGAAGCCCGCATGTGTCTCCCCCGCCGAGTACAGCTTTCGTGGCCCCATATGGAGCTTCGCCGAATGTCCCAGTGGTGCAGCCCGCATGCGTCTCCCCCACCCAGTATTCGTGGCCGCGTGGTGAGCTTCACCGAGGGTCCCACCTACAACTGCGGTATTCCCAGCTGCATATGGTTGGGTCGTTCGCCAAGTTTTTGTTGGAGTATTTGGGGCCATTTTTATGCCTGGAGGGGCAGAGGTGCAGGGACCTGGTCACATCAATGAGCTCTTGGGCTTGATGCGTCGGGGGCCCTAGTTATTGCTTCGCAGCAAGGGACAGGACCCGACGCACACCAGCCGCTGCAACGGCGGTGGCGGATTCAAGACCCATTGCAGCTGCTGAGGACCAGGCACTGTGATATGTGATTGCGGGGGTTGGCAAGTGTAGTTTTCAACAGGCGATCCATTCACAGGCTGACGCCGCATCCACCGTTCTTGGGGCTTCCTTGGGCGGTATTTGCGGCCCGTTTGAAGCCATCCCAGGGCGTAAAGATAGGACCACCCAAAACACAGTTTAGAGCGTACCTTTATTCCATGCCTTTTCCCAGGTCGCTTGTCTGGAAGGGTCACAGAGGACAGAGATGAGCAATCTCAGACACAACACGATCCCTCCTGTCAGGTCCTCGGGGAGCGTCGCCCGGCGATCTGGCCAGATACCCTTCCCACCCGCATTTCGCCTGCGCCTGCTCCAGGACGGTCCTTCCTGCGCTGCGTGGCGATCAGAGCGGATGATCAGAATTCACCGATCCCCATCCCCAGCGGCTTGGCCTGGGCACCACTGGCCGATTTAACCCCCCTGCATGGGGATATAGGTCGTTCCCTTCGGGTTTCGAGGGGCGTAGCCCCAACCGGGGTGGTAATTCGGGGGGGGTTCGAAGGGGATGGGGATGGGGATGAGGATTGGTTGAACGATACCGAGATGACTGCCACCCGCATTCCGTATGGTGCGTTTCGGGGCTCTCCGCGCGCGAGCTGGCTCGAGGCAGCGGTGCGCTCGAGGGCCACGTAGCGCTGCGTCGCTCCACACCCCGGGCGGATCCCGAGCGTGCTGGCTCGGGGATGGTGAGCTTTTGGGCCAGAGCGTGCGGTCGGGCCGAGGTATGCGGTCGAGGTCGGTTCGCGGAGGGTACCCTGCCGTTCTTCGTGCTCGGTGGATGTTTTTGTGCATCCTGGGGGAGGCTGCCCTCGGTGATCTTGCGGTCTGCGGCGTTTTGGCCGGCGGAGGGTCTCATGTTCTTGGAAGGATGCTCTTCTGCCTTAGGCCTGGCCGCAAACGCAGGCATGCAGCTTTCACGCCCAAGACCGCCGGAGATCGCGGGAAACCGCCGAAGGCCGCAGGAGGCCGCCAGAGACCTCCGGAGACCGCCGAGAGCCGCCAGAAGGCCGCCGAGGATCGCCGAAGGCCGCCCGAGGCAGATGGGTCCCGAGGGGGTCCGTGGTCGAAGACGTAGCCTCCCCCTCTCTGCGGGACGCCTCCCAGCTCGAGGCCCCGCCTCCTCCCTGCGGCCCTGCCCCCCAGGTCTCTCCTCGCGGGCCGGCCCTCGCGCCCACAACCGCCGCCTGGGGGATCGGCCTTCGGGGACGGGGCTAGGACGAGGACAAACGAGGACAAATCCGTTCCAGTGCGTTCCGGAACACTCTGAGAGCGTTCCGGCTGGCGTTCCGGAACGCTTTGAGAAGGCGGCGGCGCCCGAGACGTCCTCCAGAGCCGCCGGATCTCAGAGGTTATCGATTTATGCTCGCCCGATTTTGTCCTCGTCCTGGCTTCGCCTCACTTCGGGGGCTCGGGCCCCACGGGGGGCCTGAAGCAGGGGTGCTCACGGTGCGGTGGGTCTGGCCGCAGTGGGTTTCAGGGCCCTCCCGTGCGGATCTCGCGCGAGCTGGCTCAAGAGTGACCTCGGCGGGCAGGCAGGCAGCCCTGGATCTCTGGGGCAACGAACTGGGGGGGGATAGGCTCATGCGTCGACCCCCAGGCGTCGATGGATCGCCGATGCGGGCCCGACAGCCCCAGCCTGCTCAGGAACGGGCGGATTCACTACCGGGGCCTATCGCCGATCTGTCGGCGATGTATCGCCCATTCGAGGTCGATGTTTCCCCCCCTATGCCCCCCAGGATCGCTCCAGCGTCCCGGCCTGTCCCATGGCCCTGCCGGGTGCAGTCGGTGCGTGCCGGCTCGAGGCTGCTGCTCCCCAGGTGCGATCAAGGGCGCCCTGCAGGAAGCGCCGCGGTGTTACGGACGTTTTTCTGAGTATCGTTCGACCGATCCCCGTCTCCATCCCCATCCCCTTCGAGACCCCCACCAAATTGCCACCCCATTTGGGGATACACCCCTCGAAACCCGAAGGGAAGGGAACGGCCTATATCCCCATCCCTGGGGTAAATCGGCCAGTGGGGCCCAGGCCACGCCAGTGGGGACGGGGACTGGTTAAACGATGCTCATTTTCCGCCGTCGCCCCGTCAGAGGCGTCGTGTTCTTGCCGTGTTCTTGGAGACGTCCCATCGGGGACGCCTTGTTCTTGGTGTCCAGGCCCCCCAGATGTGTTCGGATTAGATGGTGTCGGATGATCGTGCCGCATCGCCCACGCATCGTCGATGCGGCTCGATGTGACGCTGCATCGTCGACATCGCCGATGCATCGGCGATACAGTGGCGACGCAGTGCCATCCTCCAGCCCCATCTACTCGGACCCCATCTAGGAGGCCTCTATTGTGATTCCGATGGCTTCCCCGCCTTGAATTCCGAGGCTGGCAGAGGTGTTTGTGAATCAAGCTCACTCTGTGGAGACTCTCCTGTTTTATCGATATAGGTTTAGCATAATGTTCTTTCCCGTGAAGCCCAACATTCCAGCTCACGGGAGGCCAGGATTGTTCGTAAATGTTTCAGGGAAGGATGTACTGTGGTTGCCGCGTTCTGGCTCAAGGCCAAAATGCATCCGTTCATCCTGCTGCTGCCACAGTTGGTAGCAGAGCAGTGTTCGGCGCGGCATGCATGGGCGCCTCCAGGTACCGCTGATCAGCGGTGGTGCCGGGGGCTGCTCGGGCGGCTGCGCGGGCGCTGCTTTCACCGGACTGGACAGAGCGCGGATCCACGGCAGGCATTGATGCCAGGGCTGGACGACACCGGCCCAGGTGACGACAAGAACGAGACGTACGCCGTCATCGGCGGAGGGCGCTCAGCCCAGTCAGAGGGGACTGGGGAGGGGACAGCGCTCCCGCCACCCGTCGGAGGCGCTGCGAGCTCGAGCCCACAGGTCACGGAGCAGCTGAAGCAGCTGATCCAGCAGGCGGTGAAGGACGCCGTGAAAAACCTCAGCTCAGGGCTCGGCAGCAGCGCAGCCGACGCGGACGACAACTACAACGGCATCAGGAGCGGCCGGCAGGAGAGCTCGAGGGGTCAAGATCCCTGGACCGACGGCCGCGATCCATGGAACAGTGGACAGCCGGACCCTGACGAGAACAAGTGGGGCCCCGGGGGCCGACAGCAGCAGGACACCAAGCGAGATGGCGTCAGGGACTCCGACTGGAAGGACGACGACAAGGGCGGCTGGAGGAGCCACAACTGGAACGACGGCGGCTGGTCAAAAGGTGACTATTCAGACCCGCCCACCTGGCCGGGATGGGGCCAATACCGCCTGTGGAAGAAGGCGATCCAGCGGTGGAATCGCAACACTGACGTGCAGCTGTGGAGACGGTCGGAACGTTTCTTGAAGCTGTTCGACTGGACGATGCAGGCGAAGTTCGAGGACATCAGCGAGAACGTGCTGTGCGGGCCCCGCTGGCTGGACACCCTCCTCGAGAGAATGGACCTCATGGGCGGCCAGCGAGAGGGCGACGACATGCGCAGGGCAGGTCGCAGGGCACTGTTCGAGTGCACGAAGGGCTCGAAGGAGAGCCTCACGCAGTTCGTGGCGAGGCGCGATCAGCAGATGACCGACGCCGAGAGCCGCGACATATGGATGTCAGACAAGATGAAGGGTCTCATGCTCGAGGAGGGTGCGGGACTGAGTGCGCAGGGTCAACAGAACTTGCGCGCCCTCACCAAGGGCAGCCTGGACTACAGGGACGTGGCCTGGGCTCTCAGGCAGCTCGACTACGGTAGCGGCGAGAAGCTGCTGCCTGGCAGCAGTGCCTCGCATCCAGTCTTGGCCGCAGAAGACGGCGAGGACGGGCGAGGCCCCAGCTCTTTTCCTCTTCCCCATCCGTCCTCCCAGGCTTTCCAGGTCTCGGGCTCCGGGACCGCTCGACAGGACGAAGAATCGTATGATGACGAGTCGGGAGAGGATCCAGAAGAAGACGAAGAGCTGTCAGAGACGGACCTCATGGCCATTTTGGCGGAGATTGAGGATCTGGATCTCGACCAGGACGACGCCGCCGAGGCCTTCGTGCAGATTGCTGGCAAGGTGCAGCGCAGGTCCTGGAAGCAGAACAAGGACTTGAAGCGCGCGGCGAAGCAGGACCGCGAGTTCTGCGGTGCGCGACCTCGCCGGGGCGACGACGACGGACGTCGCGGCGGTGGCCGAGGCGGTGCTGGCAGCCGAGGCCGTGGGCGCGGTCGCGGCCGAGGAGTCAAGCAAAAGGATGCCGGCCCTGCGAGTCAGAGGATCCTCAGGCTCATGAAGGTCACCCGCTGCAAGAATTGCAACGAGAAGGGCCACTGGCCACGGGGGTGTCCCCAGCCGCGGAAGGAGGGCGGCGGCAAGGGACCTGATCGGTCAAAGCGAGGCTTGGCCGGGTACACGTTCGACGGCTGCAGCTATCCGATCATGGGCAACGACGGGCTCGAGAAGCTGGAGGGCATTCGGAAGGGGGCGCAGGCCATCGAGGTCTACCTCGACGCCTCCGTGGCGCAGGGCCTCGTGGACCCAGGGGCCGGCAGCGACATAGTGGGACTGCCATCGCTGAACCGAGAGGCCGAGGCGCTGGCTCGTCACGGTCTTCGCTACGCAGTAGTGCCAGGAGAGTTCGAGGCGCCCAAGAAGGCGCGCGGCATCGGAGGCGAGGCAAAGGTGATCTGTACCATTCTGTATCCGATGTGCCTCGGCGGAGTGATGGGAGTCGCGGGGGCCACCGTGCTGAACGAAGACGTTCCGCACATACTGAGTGTCAACAACCTGCTGGATTTCCCAGGTTGCGTGCTCGATCTCCATCGTAATCTTCTGATTTTGCAGTTTCTAGCTCGGGGCATTCCTGTCGCCAAGCTGGGCTCAGGTCACCGCGTGGCCGATATCGTGCGGGGGGCCAGGGGGGGCCACGCTGCCCCAGACAGTGCGCTTCGGAAGTATCCTTTTCTGACGGCGTCTTCCTTTGTGCTGGCCGGTGGGCAATCGCCACCTGTGATGAGCGCCAGCGGGGAGATGAGC